TACGCGCTCTACATATACTACTAAGTGTAATGTATAGTAAGCATTGGAGATCAGCAGTCAGCACACCCTAGCTAGCTGCTGCTACTGCTGCTGCTGCTGCTGCTGCTGCTGCTGCTGCTACTGCTGCTGNCAGAACATGTATCAGCTCCAGTAATAAACGTCTTTATGAGTTACATCACTCTTCGTCAATACTTAACAGTAACCACGTCGCACGGTCGCACCAATGACGCCAACATGGCCGCCTTTGTTTTGATGACGTCACGTGCAAGGGGTCACACACAAGGGGACACTTAAAATTGACACAGGCCTATAGTTTCCGAGTTCTGTTTTGCTATTCTTTTTATGTATCGGAATGACCCATGTCATCAGGATTTTTCCTTGGATGAATGACATGTTGATTACATTGGTAGTTATCCAATTTTATGAATTCAGTATTTTATTGTAACAGTATGCTATGTATTGTATATGATGGATAATTGCCTAAATAAATAAAAAAATAAAAAAAATATATACATGTGTAAGAGCTGAGCAAATAACGTTTGTTCCATCTTTTATAAATTTTGCGGGAATATTATCTAACCCAATAGCCTTACCTGTATTAATGTTTTTCAGCACCCGTAGTACCTCTTCCTCTCCCACCGTTGTAAAAGTAAATGAATTTTCTACTACGCGCGCGCGCCTTTGTCCCTATAATAATTTTGAAGACTAATCTCATCATACGTCCCTTCCTTTTGTGGTAGATCGTTCACCAAGTTTGAGGCCACACTTGTGAAATACTTATTAAAATTATTTGCAACAATTGCTTTGTCAAAACATATATTTTCTCCAATTTTTAGCCCTACCCCGCCCAAGTTACTGCATGGTTCCCTTATTTTTCATCCCCATACTCTTTAAAGTCTGCCATAATTTTTTAGGGTTATTTTTGTGGTCCTCAACCTTTTCCGTATAGTAATTAGCCTTTGCTTTCTTAATTTTATTTTGAACTTTGTTTCTAAGCAATTTAAAATCCTTGTATGTAATTTCATCTTTACTCTTTTTATGAAGCAGTAATTTTTTCTAGAATAAGCTCCCTAATCTCACTATCAAACCATGGCTCAGTTCTTTGTTTTATTCTAACTTGTTTAATAGGGGCGACAGTGTCAATGGCCTCTAGGAGGTATTTTTGAAAAATTGCCCATGAATGCTCTATAGAATCCGCGTTAAAAATATTGCTATTTTACAGTAAAAATATTCTACAGTACACAATCTATTATCCGAAACCCTTGGGACCAGACACGTTTCGAAATTTGGAATGGTACTTATTAGTACAGTACAGATATACACGTCTAGATTAGGTTTATAAGTTCCATCATAGATACATACAAATTGAAACAGGTGTGTTTGTATGATTTCTATGGTCCCTGGATGTAGTATGACTACGTTGTGCGAAGATGGATTGACGCTATCCTGCATTGAAATTGTCAGTTGACCCTACATTAGTGGAGAGCTGCCTTTTCTCCATTGTATTCATAGAAATATATCATAGTCTTAACTAGTATATTTATATAATATATATATACTTTAACTTCGTAAAGTTACTTGCAAATTTGAAGCTTTTTCTACTGCGATCCGCACTCCGCAGCGTTTATATAATCCTGTTGATATGCAGATTTTATCAACTTAGTCTCTCTCCGTCTTCAAAGACCGGGATGGGGACGGACTACGGATAGATACAAAGTTAACCTATTACTTATTTTTTATACAATTATATTTTTATGTTATTGTATTATTTAGTCTATTTGATCAACCTTCAATCTTTATGAGGTTATGTAAGGCGACCGTCCTTATAATATTCAAGGAACGTTACTGCGCACATCTATTAATAGATGGCGCTGTCAGTACGAAATGCATTTGCTACAGCGATTGCTAACCATAGAACATAGAACTAGAATAGAAATTCTATCTTGAACTTCTATTCTAGTACTAGTTCTATGTTGCTAACATGATACAATAGATATACTGTAATATTGTGTTTGTATATGTGGTGATACTTTTTTGACAGGAAGTCAAAGGAAACAACGCACATTGATTTACGAAATGCACGAAAAACTAACTAAAACGCAACAATAACAGCGCAGTTTTATTTCTAAAAGTACGCGTTCATGAGATTTTATTCACTGTGAGCATCGTTGGGTCATGCGAATCTAACAAACTATATAAACCTACAATAGATTTCACATAGGGATTGGATGCGCATTTAGTCTAAACATTCAAAACATTCAAACACGCCATAATTCATACACCAAATACGTTGTGCAAAAATATATACCGTAGGCATATACACCAGCTGCTCCACCACGCATGACTTCATCGTAGGTTGTAGTACTAGATCAAATGTCGTTAAAAATGTATATAAAAACATTTGAAGCAGATGGTTGTGATATTCTTATACTAGTCTGTACATGAACGAGTGAACACTTATAACACCTATTTCTTTTAAATTCTCTAACGCTTGTCCCATTATTTCATAGATATATACATCTATGAGTAAGTAGGTTGTATATATCTATGATTAATAATATATACCGTTCCCATCCCGTACTGGCGAGGTTCTTACTACAAGAACTACAAGTATACGGACGAAGGCGCTACAATCGTGTTTGGAGACAAAGTTTGACAACTAAACCTGGACTGCCCGGAAATCCTAAACACACACATAAACACTGTTGAGAGATATACCTGGATGCCGAGTGATGTAATTTCTGGATAACACGGCATACGCGTGTGTACACTGTACTCCAGCAACGACGTTGATCGCTGACCCATCACCCACACCATCACCCGAACACTCTCACAACACGTCTCACAGTAAAAGGTAAGTCTAACTAGCCGCGCACATGTGTTCAATAGACAGACCCTAGGCCTAGATCATAATATAGATAGAGTCATTATTTTACACGCGCGTGGTCCTACAGATTGTGTTGACGCGCCTGCGGCTGAGTGTTATAGCCTATGCCGCATCTCTAGCTAGTCTGGTTTAGCAGTAAACCGTGCGAAAAGAACGTGTGTGTGAGTGAGTGAGAGCGAGGAGAGAGAGAGAGGAGAGAGAGCGCGAGAGAGGAGAGGGAGAGAGAGAGAGAGAGAGAAAGAGAGAGAGAGAGAGAGACTTGAACCAATTCACACGGTGAGCCAACCTACAATCGATCTCACGGGGAAGACTAGGCTCCCCTGACCTCGCCACAACTCTCGGCAACCTAAACCTTCATTCTAACATATCAGCCTACGCACCACCACATATTATCTACATAAAGTATATCATCAAAGGACATACATGAGTAACTATACCGCCCCCATCATTCTGCCCCTTGCTAGACCCTACGGAATGCACACATTCGCACACACACACGCACGTTGTATTGTTTGTCGTTGTCTTATATCACGTGAAGCGTGACACACGCAAGCGCCGCCCACTGAACCACAACAATGAATGTTCATCAACTATGATATTGTTATAGTTCAGTGGAGCCGCCGCCGCGCACGCACACACCGCACGTGAAAATGCACAGACACACACGCAAGCGACTCCATGATCGTCTGCCGAGCTGACGCTATTTCATGGGAAAGTTAAACGGGATTAAAACCTCGCTACCGTAGGCGGTCCAACACACAACGATGTGTGATGACTGTACACGTTAGATGGATGACTCAGTGCTCCCTATACTAGTGATAAAATAGCAAACATGCTCCCCAGACAAGTTCTGAACAAAAGTCAGGCGAGTTGCATATATTATACTTGTCAGACGATGTTCGAGTTATAGCCGCCGTGCGGTAAAAAAGATAGACGGGATTTAGAATACAAAAAACATGATTCCAATAAAATTTTTAACAAATCTACAGGTTAAATCGGCTATAGTAAATATCACGAGTAAATTGATTGACACAACACTCAACAGGTCAATATCATTTAACGCATGACGTCATCATCAATCATTGCAGAAGTAAGATAATACTATAGTTAATATGAACTAATAATATTATCTCATTCCTGATCATTATACACAACATCATCATTTACTGTATGATTACTAACAATCAGTCACTGCTGGACCAAACGTAAAGATTACTTAAAATATGGCCAATTAAAACACGTGCAGGGAACATTAAATTTCAAAGTAAAACCAAGCCAAGAGATTCTATGAAAGACAAAATTCCCCCAAAACCAAAATCTAGCTAGCATAGATTCAAACCGTCGAGAATTCGGGCTTGGAATTAATCGGTAAAAGTCACGTTAAACATACGATACGCGTAGGTCGAAAACGCTATGATTCCCTTGAAAACAAGGTAAAACGATCGATTAAAAAGACACGAGTTATGGTGAGTGTATATACACGGGACCTAGAATTACATGATAAAATCAAGGTTTCTCATCACATGACACATGCAGGTAGCAAACACTATGATTTGTCCGGAACAAATGAGAATCATTGCGACGACACATCTCTCAAATGATCAGATGGCAAGGAAACATTCGAGTAGTCACGCGGCAAGTGGTAGAAGGACAATGAGAGGGATACCGCATGGTCAACAGCACCAACGAGGTAAAAAAAAAACACGTATTATCGCAATAACACGGCATCCTGGCTTCCATAATGCATGACCACGTCGCTATCCCGTTCATTATTCCCCTCTAAGGGCAAGCACACTGCACTAGAGTTACAGCAGCACTGTGCTCTGCATAGGAACAAATAAATTTCTAGACAAAATCAAGCAATAATGAAACTGTTATCACATGAGAAATTAAATGGAATGTTATAGTAACTTCCACGATATTAGGCCACCCTTAAAAAATTGTTTGTTTCCCATTTACCTACTCGCCTCTCAGGGTACTGAGTAGGTACCGGTAGGTAGGGGAAAAATAAATATTTTTTTTTTACAAGATGTGTGTGTGTATATTGTATATTCTGTTTTGTGTATATGTTTTTGCGGAACGAATTTGATTATTTTTTTGGCGAAACGAAATAACTTTTGTTTTGTTTTAATCGGCCAATAAAATGTGTTGAGTAGCGGCGTTTTGGCGAGTCGGTCGGTAAAGGGGAAACAAGCAATATTTTATCTTAGGCCTTACATGGAATGTACACTTCCTACTGTTGTTCCCTGCCACAACAACACTCATTCCTTCCCTCCATGGTATAACGTTCCTCAAGCAAAAAACCGAGCAAAGGAACACAACACAGAGAATTCTGCATGCAAGAGAACATCAGCATGGCGTTCACACTGTACGTAAACGTTAACAGCAGAGAACAACACAGATGAACCACACTGAATAACACCATGTGGGAGGAACTCCCAATGCTAGAACAACAGTTCGGCATTCCCTCGAGCGATCGATCGCACGGGAGTCGCGAACATCAACGGCAGTGAACCAAACGAGTGGACAAGGAATTCCCTGCGCGACAGGAACCCCTCAAGAACATTAACAGCAAAGAACCGCGCTGAGGAACACTGTGCAGAACAGCAGCGAGCTTCCCGCGAGAGCGCGCGCGCCCGACCGCCGGTACCCGGCGTGGCCGTACTGCTGGTCGGTGATCTGGAAGAGCACGGCCGAGCTCTGCTTCCCGTCGCCGCCGTTACTGTAGCCGAGGACTCGCAGCCGGAAAGCGACGCCGCTCTGTAGGTCCGTCAGGATGTAGCTGTTCGTCTGTCCGACGATGTAGTCGAAGTTCTTCGTCGGGTCGATCTCATGCGCTTGCATGATGCGGATCTTGTATCCCTCGAGCGACTCCTCGTCCGGGCCCGTCGTGATGCCGTTCCACGTCACGCGCATGCGGTTCTCGTCGTTGAGCGTCGCGACGCGCACGTCCGTCGGCGCGGTGAGCGGCGAAGCCTTGAACGTGTACGACTGCATCGCCTGGCTCTTCTCGCCGTTGCCCGCCGAGTTGTAGGCCATCACGCGCACGAGGTAGTGCGTGTTCGGCTGCAGGCCGATGATGACGGCGTGCGACGACGCGTTGGGGAAGATCGCCGTGACGTAGTCGTCCTCGGGCGAGCCCTTCATCCAGTACTCGATGCGGACTCCGTGCAGGCGGCCGCGCATGTTCTCGCGCGTGTCATCGAGGCGCGTCCAGTAGACCTCGATTGCCGTCGAGTTGTATGGCGTCGCCTGCATGTCGATCGGCGTCACGACGGGCGTGTTCTCCGCCGACAGGATCATCGTCACGTTGGACATCGGGCCGAGGCCGATCTCATTGAACGCCTGCACCCGCACCTCGTACTCGAGGTAGAAGTTCTCCTCGCCGACGCGGTGAACGTACTGGCCGCGCTGTTCCGCGAAGCGCTTCTTCTCAAAGTCGGACAGCACACCGAGCTTGCGCCAGTGCACGATGTAGCCGATGCCCGGCGCGTTCCACAGGTCCTTCGTCAGCGGCGTCCACGTGATCTTCAGGTCGCCGATCTTGCCGCCGCCGCCGCCGATGTTGGACGGCGCGACGTTGGGCGCGGCCGGCAGCGTGAAGAACGACGACGACTCGTCCGAGGGGACGCTCACGCCGATGGCGTTCACGGCGCGCACGCGGCATTGGTACGTGTTCCACGGCGAGAGGTTGTCGACGATCGTCGTGACGATGTCCGTGTCGGGCCGCTGCTCGTCCTCGCGCACGGCGATCTCCTTGACGATGAACCACGAGTCGGTGTAGTTGTCGCTCGCCTCGATCGCGTAGCCAGTGATCGCGTGCCCGCCGTCGCCGCCCGTGCTCCACTGCAGCGTCACGCTCGTCTGCGTCACCCCGCTCGCCCTGACCCCGCTCGGCGCCGACGGCGGCCCCTCGACGAACAGCCGCGCCGACTGTCCTATCTCGTCGATCGTCGTCTTAACGACGCACGTGTACTCGCCCGCCTGGCTGAAGGTCGTGTTCTTGATGAGCAGGTATCCCGGCGGCCGGTTGGTGATGCGCGTCTCGTAGTGGAGGTCGTGTTCGAGGTCAAGCGGGATCCCGTTGTGCAGCCACACGTAGGCGAGGTCGAGCAGCGAGTCGATGGACGCCTCGCACTCGAACATGTGGTTCTGGCCGACCTGGACGCGAGCGTTCTCCGGCGCGCGGCTGATGATGGCCGCCGGCAGCACGGTGACGTTCGCGCGGCTGCTCGACTTACCCAACGCGTTCTCGGCCTCGCACTCGTACTGACCCTCGTCCGAGCGACGCACGTCCGTCACGATCAGGGTGCCGTCCGGCAGGATGCGGCGGCGGCCGTCGTCGGCGAAGCTCTGTCCGTTCTGCTTCCATGTGTAGACGGGCGAGGGCGCTGCCTCCGGCGCGCACGAGATCGTCAGGTTGCCCTTGACGGCGCCGAACAGGCTGTTGGGGAGCGGATGCTTGGCGAAGGTGGGAGCGAGCGCGAGGACGCGGAGCTGCGCGGAGGAGTACCGCACGCCGTGCACGTTGCGCGACTCGCACTGGTACATGCCGCTGTCGCGCGGCGTCACGCCCGTCACCGTCAGCGTCACGAGCGTGCCAACGCGGTCAAACGAGAAGCGTGTGTCGGTCACCGTCGCCGGGTTCATCTCCTGGCCGTTGCGCAGCCAGCGGTAGCTGACCTCCGGCCGGCCGAACGCCTCGCACGTCATCGTGACGGTGCTGCCGACGTCGACGTGAAGGTCCTCGAGCGGCAGAGTGTAGATGGGCCGCGACGCGATCGTCAGCAGAACGCGCTCTTCCTTCTTGCCCTTCGTGTTCGACGCCTCGCAGACGTAGATGCCCTCGTCGCTCGGCTGAACGTTCGGCACGACCAGCACCTTGTCATATAATAATAATAATAAATTTTATTAATTTAAATACGGTACATTTGTAATAAATAGATATAACATGAGCTCCTCACCATCTGTTAAAAGCCAGGCCTTAGTATTACTGGAGACGGGTCCGCCATTTTACGTGGTCATCCGAGCCATGGGAGTTTCACAGTCTCCAATGTTGAGAGCCAGGTTTTGAGAAAATTCACTGCACCGGCCGGTGTTTGAACACACAGCCTTCGGAGTGAGAGGTGGACAATATACATGGCCTAATCACTGCGCCACCGAGGACTCTCTCAAAATAATGATAACCTTGTGTAACGATAACCTATAATGGCATGACGAGCACCTTGTCGTAGCTGAGCTTGTAATGCTTCGGCGGCAGCGGGCCGCCGACACGCGTCCAGTTGTAGCGCGGGATCGGGTCGCCGTGCGCGAAACACTCGAGGCGGACGTTGTCGCCCAATAGCGGCGCGCCGGGGAAGATGGCCGGGAAGCCGACCTCGATCTGCGGCTCACGCTCCGTCGCCGCGTTGTTCGTGCGCACCTGTGTAATGACGTAGATATCGAATTATTTAAGCTGTTATATAGTAGTATGTATGACACTGAGTGTCACCTTAAAACATATGGTTGTGTGTACCCACCACAGATGGAGCCACTGTATCCAGCGTGGCTGACCTTATGAAGTATGTCTAAATAAACAAGTCTCATCTAAAACCAGCTTCTCTCCTCACTTACACTACACATCAAGCTTTGTAACAAACCTAGTATAAAACCTAGCGACACATTTAACGTTAGTCATTTAACGTAAGGCCAAAAGAAAATATAGGTGTGGTTACCGTTTCCCGACCGACCCTATTTATTCCCAGCGACCCTAAACATTTTATTGTCAATTTTCTTTAAAGTAAAAACAAAATTAAAAAAAACAAACAAAAAACAAATATATGAATTGGACAGTTCCTGCTTCAAAGGGCACAACGCACATCCTTCGGACATGGTTCGTAAATAAAATGTTTCAATAAAATAAAATGTTTTCCCTACCTACCTACCCTATTTTTTTTCGGCATGAAACGGTAACCACACCTATATTTTGTTTTGGCCTAAGCGGATAACGTCATAGCTTATTTTAGTCAAATAGCTCAAGGTAACAACAAGTGAAAGTTGCTGCACACGAATATCCCAAGAAACTGAGTCACTGGAACACGAGTAAAAGTTATCACCCAGCTCTGTTATACCTGTAGCCGGATGTCTCGGCTCGTCTTTCCGACGCTGTTGACGCCGGACGTCGCCACCGAGCTCTGCACCAAACAGATGTAGGCGGCGCGGTCCGCCTCGACCACCTTGCTGAAGTAGAGGTTCCCCTTCTGCGACGCGAAGATGTTGGGACCCTGCGGCACGAACTCCGGCAACGCGTTCTTGAACCAGTAGTAGTTGACGTCAGGGAAGTGTGCCGGAGGGCGGCACTCGATGACGGCGCCGACGTGGAGGTACGCGGCGACGGGCTGCCGCTCATCCGCCGTGAAGTCGTTGAGGAAGCCAAACTCGAGCTGGATGCGCGAACTCCACACCGTGCCGAAGTCGTTCGTCGTCGCGCAGTAGTAGACGCCGGAGTCCTTGTCGCGGTCCGGCATGTGGATCGTCAGCTGTCCGTTCGTCTGCGTGTAGCGCGGGTCCTGCAGAACGTTGATCTCGATCTCCGTGCGGCTGTCGTCCTTGTACCACTTGTAGGTCGGGTACGGGTACGCGTCGGCCGCGCAGACGAGCGTCACGAACTTCTCGACGGACTCCGTGTCGTAGATGATGTTGTCCGGCTGTTCGATGAATCGCGGGCCGTGCGGTATGCGCTCGGGGTCGCGCACGACGACGCCGTAGTCGTAGCCGCGGTACACGATGTCCATCTCGTCGAGGTCGACCTTGCGTATCTCGCAGATGAACGGTCGCTGGTAGATGGCGTCGGCGCGGTCCCAGCCCCACGCGCCTGTCTTGAAGCGGTAGATGAGCGTGTCGCCGAAGTTGTTTCGCGGCTCGTGTTCATCGTAGCGAAGCCATCCGTCCTTGAAGGAGAAAGGGACCTGGAGGAGGTACTGCTCCCAGCGCCAGTCCGGGTCGCCGCCTCTCCCGCCCGTGTACCACTCCTTCTTCTGCGGATCGTTGTTGTACAGCCAGTCGGCGATGAAGTCGTGTTCCATCTTGCTGTCGACGGAGAGGAGGTGCGAATTGTAGCGCTGGCACAGCTCGGCCGAGCGTTGGTAGTCCAGCGGTGGAGCGACGGAGAACTTGTAGCAGGTGAAGCCTTGAGGGAAGTCGACCCAGCCGGGCGGACATTCCCGCTCGTTGGCGAATTCCTTGCTACCCTGTAATTCTATCCTTGCATCGGTCACTGATGCTTGTATTAGCAGAAGAGCCACCGCCGTCATCAACAGCAGAATCTTCATGGTAGTATCCGATTTTTTCGTCGAAATTTGTTGTGTGTAGTGCGCACGGTTGCACTGCAGTCACACCACAGGCAACATCAGCTCTAAGAGTAGATTAATTATCGAATATCGTTAAAAACAACCAAAACGGCAAAGCTACGAGATTGCGTCTCCACACAGTCACTGAGTCAGTTGGATATGTTCGCAAAACACACGCCGAACAAGTGAACAGCACAGGTGAAAATCCTGTTTGCGTGACAATGGCGCGGCGATACTGGCTGCTATGCCACACCCCACCTGCGCAAAATCAGTCTCCACGCTCCACCGGTCCGCTCTATATATACGGCCACAGGTAACGCAGCAACAGCATCAGCGGGTTCACTGCTGTATCCCCGAGGCCCTCGCTCGCACATGTACCCAGCGGTGTGCGCACGCTCACGCTCCAAATGAATGACTTCACTGCGCAAGTATAGTATTAGTAATGTATAGAATTAATACGCCTACGCGCCACAGCATAATAATTACACTTTATACATTCTCGAAGACCCAACAAGCAACGCGCACAATGGTCAAATCCAATGGTCCTCTCCGCACACTTGTCATGTATTTCGGATACGTATTACTTGGCACTGTTGCCCCTGAATGCCGTATAACGACGCTGTGCGCAACACAAAGGTCTTGGAAGGCAGGGTCGATGTATTCTTAGATGCAGAGGCTGAATGCTCGGGAGTTGTTTTGACGGCGCGTATGGAAAATGTCGCGAAGTTTTTGAAACTGTCGCATATTTCGTTGATTACATCATCGCACGATTTTTCGACGGATGTAATGTGGTGACTATAGAAATGACTAGTCGGGCAGGAAACGCACGCACGAGGTGTGTTTTGCGTTCGTGCCTAGCATGAAAAATCCAACGTAAACGTCTCACTTTATAATTGCCCATTGTGCCACGACTCGCTATTATTGTAAGCGGACGCAACGCAGTAACCCCGCTCTGTAAATATCTCGTTCCATTTTCAATGTTAATTTCAATGCGGCGCGCGTAGAATGGCGAACCCCCTCGTGTGGGTGATTTCTATACGCTGTGTGAATTGGTACCTCGATCGTGTCGATTTGTGAAGCGGAGTTTCTAGAATATATATTTCCCCAGGGGCCGAATATCCTACCCCAGTTCAATACGAATGTTTACAAAACAAACCACGATATAGTGATGTCCTATAATATACCCACAACTGTATCCTCTCTCACCCTCTCTCTCGTCCTCCCTCGCACTCGATCTCTTTCTCGTGCTCTTTCCCCACCCTCCTTCCCTCTCGTCCTCCCCCCCCTCTCTCTCTCTCTCTCTCTCTCTCTCTCTCGTCCTCCCTCGCACTCGATCTCTTTCTCGCGCTCTCCCTCTTCCTCGTGCTCTCTCCCCACCCCTTCTAT